AACATATTTCTTTTCCTCCCTGTGTTTTCTGGCTCTGTTTTATATCATAATTTGCCTTAGCACAGAACCTTGCAAGTAGAGATTCAGTAAATGTAGACTATTTTATAGTATTTATTTTTTCATTTGCATAAATTAAGTTGAAAAGTCTACATATATGAGTTAAATGCATTACTTTTATGTGCACTTGAAAATAAAAATGAGACTTTATATTAGAAACGAATGTGATTAGGATAAATGGATTTTTATTTTTCTTCCTTTGAAGAGATATTCTGCATTATAAGTTGTGGAGAAGCAAAATATATTCAGTCCTTGGACATTTTCTTTACAATTATTTCCTGTATGATTGTATCTAGTCTCATGCATTTAAATACTACATATAAACAAATCAGACCTCTCCCTTAATCCTCAGACTTGTTCAGCCAGTTACTTGCTTCCTCAACATTACCATTTAATTAGTTAACAAACATTTTAAACTTAACAAAAGTTTTGATTTTCTCCTTGAAACTGTTTCTGCTATAGTATTCCTTACTTTGGTGAGTGGCCATATTATCCTTCCATTTGATCAAACCAAAAATTATTTCAGTAATTTGTAAATTCCCTCTCTTTTACTCCACGTTTAAACCATTGAGAATTTCAGTCAGCTCTACTTCTCTCCACCTTCTACAACTATGATCTAGATGACCACAATCATCTTTCCCCTCCTAACTTGCTTCCTTGCTTCTAACCTTGACCTCCTATGTCTATCCAGCAGCCAAGTGATTTTTTTTTTTTTTTTTTTTTTTGAGACAGAGTCTCCCTCTGTCGCCCAGGCTGGAGTGCAATGGTGCGATCTCAGCTCATTGCCAACTCCGCCTCCTGCTGCCTCCTGGGTTCCAGTGATTCTCCCTGCCTCAGGCTCCCAAGTAGCTGGGATTACAGGCATCGGTCACCACACCATCCATCACCACACCCGGCTAGTTTTTGTGTTTTCAGTAGAGACAGGGTTTTGCCATATTGGCCAGGCTGGTCTCAAACTCCTGACCTCAGGTGATCCACCAGTCTCAGCCTCCCAGAGTCCTGGGATGACAGGCGTGAGCCACTGTCCCCGGCCACAAGTGATTCTTTTAAAATTTAAGATGGATCGTGCCTCTCCTCTGATGAGAACCTCCCAAAGTTCTTACCTTGCCTAAAGGGCTTATGTGAAATGTAGACTGCTCCCTCTCTCCACCCCGATTGCTAGGTCCTCATTTCCTACCACTACTTCCCTCCCCTATTTTGCTCCAGCTACAGTAATCTACTTGCTTCTCTTTACATGCCTAGCTGACTCCATATCATGAGATGTGTACTTGATTGCCTCAAACGGAAATGCTCTCCCCTTTACTCACTAATGTTTCTGGTCAGATCACCACATTTTGCCTCTCAGAGAAGCTCTTCTTGGCCATACTGTGTAAAGTAATGAAGCCTGACTACATCACTATTTCTCCCCTTACCTTGCAGGGTTTTTTTTTTTTTTCATACCCATTACCATTATATGATATGTTTGCTTTTTTATGTATCTCTTTCCCAACTAGAATGCCAGCTCTGTGAAACCAGGGATTCTTTATTGTTCACAGTTATGTCCTTGGAACCTAAGGCAGGCAGTGCTTATACATAGTGGCCATTTAATTAATATTTATCAAATAAGTTGGTGAGCCTTAATACTTAAATGGAGAATGTGATTTCATTTACATTATAATAATCGAATCCATAGAATAATGAGGAACCTTCAAATGGAATCTGCTTTGTTTAAATCTTTATATCATATTTTCAACATTCAACACAGATTACAATTGTGTTTCATAGTTAGGTTAATGCTCATACAATACTCTTAGTGTCAAAATGTGGGGCCATATTACTATTTTAAAGATTCTTTTTATGGGAATAATTACTTTTTTGTTCTTTTGACATAGACATCTGACCCTCAATTACATTAACAAACCTTATACACATGAATGGAAAGAAGAATAGCCCCTTTTGAATCCATGCTAAGACTTTATCAATATGAAGTGCTTCCCACAGAGTTCTGCTGAAAGTACTGAACTTCCATCATAATGAAATTGCAAATTCATTTGTATATGCTCCTCTTATATTTGAAAGCTACTTTTTGATGTTTTGGTCTGCAATTAAATTTATTGTTTAAGGTCACAAATATGCAATTCTGACTAGAACAAGTTGTCAGAATTCTTTATTCAGCATAGCACAAAGATAAATGGCTGTCTTTTAACAATAACATATGAAAGCCAAAATTTGTTCCCAGATATACATAATCTTTTAATGCTTTCTGTTTTCCAGTCAATAGACCCCTTAACCTGCTTCCTCACCATCTTACCTATCTAGATTATGGGTTTTTAAATTACGGCAAAACACTTTCATCAGATGGAAAAAGAAGTTTAAACATTTTAATGCTATAATTTTCCCATGCACATTTTATCGTTCCATCCGAATTCTTTTGCCTTTACCCCTATTCTGTGTAAGGTAGATAATTATGTAGTATGTTAGCTAAATTCTGTGGTTACATTTCTCACTGTTAACATGACCAGGAAGTAGATCGTGTTGCTTAATTGAAATTGAGTTTTCAAGTGTTTTTTCTTCTAAAAAAAAAAGGGATACATGTGCAGAACATGCAGGTTTGTTACATACGTACATGTGTGCCATGGTGGTTTGCTGCACCTATTGACCAGTCCTCCAACTTCCCTCCCCTCACTCCCCACACCCCAACAGGCCCTGGTTTGTGTTGTTCCCCTCTCTGTGTCTATGTGTTTTCAATGTTCACCTCCTACTTATGAGTGAGAACACATAGTATTTGGTTTTCTGTTCCTGTGTTAGTTTGCTGAGGATGAGGGCTTCCAGCTTCATCCATGTCCTTGTAAAGGACATGATCTCATTTCTTTTTATGGCTGCAGAGTATTCCATGGTGTATATGTACCACATTTTCTTTATCCATTTGATCATTGATGGGCATTTGGGTTGGTTCCACGTCTTTGCTATTATAAATAGTGCTGCAGTAAACATATGTGTGCATCTATCTTTATAGTAGAATGGTTTGTATTCCTTTGGGTATATACCCAGTAATGGGATTGTTGCGTCAAATGTTATTTCTGGTTCCAGATCCTTGAGGAATCGCTATACTGTCTTCCACAATGGTTGAACTAATTTACATTCCCACCAACAGTGCAAAAGCATTCATACTTCTCCACAGCCTCACCAGCATCTATTGTTCCCTGACTTTTTAATAATCGCCATTCTTACTGGCATGAGATGGTATCTCATTGTGGTTTTGATTTGCATTTCTCTGATGATCATTGATGTTGAGCTTTTTTTCATATGTTTGTTGGCTGCGTAAATGTCTTCTTTTGAGAAGTGTCTGTTCATATCCTTTGCCCACTTTTTGATGGGGTTGTTTTAAAACATTTCTGTGCATGTGGATTAACTTATTTTCTCAGATTCTATACTGCATCTAATACAAATGTATATGATTTTGATTAAAATAGATTTCTTAAATTTTTATTTCCTTTGTGGTCTTTCATACAGAAGACATAAAGGAACAACTGCCCTATAATATTTGAGGCCTTACTCTTTTTTTTTTTAGACACAGTTTCGCTCTTATTGCCCAGGCTGGAGAGAAATGGCACAATCTTGACTCATTGCAACCTCTGCCTCGTGGGTTCAAGCGATTCTCCTGCCTCAGCCTCCTGAGTAGCTGGGATTACAGGCCTGTGCCACCAGGCCCGGCTAATTTTGCATTTTTAGTAGAGACGGGGTGTCTCCATGTTGGTCAGGCTGCTCTTGAACTCCTGGTCTCAGGTGATCCACCGGCCTCGGCCTCCTAAAGTGCTGGGATTAGAGGTGTGAGCCACTGCGCCCGGCCTAGGCCTTATTCTTTATCTAAGAATATCCAGTGTCTTTATAGATTTATTCAAGGGATTTTGATAATAAATAATCAAAAGCCCTTTGTTTAAGGTGATCATAGCGATAAAGAAGAACAAAGACATTGAATGACAATAGCAGGATGTTGTAAAGCCTGCATAGTAATGTCCCCATTTTAAGATGTTGTTTAAATATTTTTTTGCAAATCTGAGAATCTTTTTTTTTTTTTTAACTACCATGTAATTTGAATCTTCCCCAACTGAAGAGAGTAGACTGTTTCAGGAGGACGTATAAGAAAAAAACATAACTTTTAAAGTCAGACAATCCCCTCCAGCCCCCGAATTCTGGAATTCTGACTGCTATTACTTTTGTGACCTAGGTTACTGCATTCTTCGAGCCTCTGTGTAGCAATACAATAGACAAAAATCTCTATTCATACAGTTTAGTGATACGATTAAATGAGACAACACATATAAAGAGCTGAAAACAGTGCCCAGCTATATAGTAAGCACTCAATAAATACCATTTGGAGTCCTCTCTTTCTGCTGTCCCCTCACCCCAACTCTGTTCTTCATGCTCTGTGATCTGTTCTAATTGGGCTTAATCAGAAATTAAAACTGTTGAACTAAACTTGAAACCTTTCTGTGCCTGCCAACTCTGTATTAAGAATACTGTGCATTCTCCGATGTAATAAGTAGGACAAAGAGAGAACCTTGAATTGATCTAGATCTAAACACCCACCAGGTGTATGTGGTCTTTTTCTTCTCAGCAAATTGGTCCCCCAGGGATTTGTAGCACCTGCTCTACTCCCAGCCCCCATTTGAAGTCCAGATGGAGCCTTTAGATTTACTTAAGTCTCTCTTCAACCTGCCTATTTGAGAGCTGAGCTCTAAGTAATGTTAATGTGATGTAGGAAGGCATTATCATATTAATCATTTTGTGTAAGGTGACATACTTCATTGCTTGTTGCTCTTTTGACCATTCATAATGTTCAGATTTTTGCCTTAAGAGTTTCATCTTTTAAAACATTTATTTTCAGGAAAAGATTTAATAGTAATGTAATATACTGTTTATACCTCAAAATATTTTATGATTGTAAATTCTTATTGTTTTAGGTGCAAGGATGGTTTGAAAGGATTTACATTTTCTGCACTTAGGTAAGTAACATTTATTTTTATGTTGAGAGAGAATTTACAAGTTAACTTAAAACATAATACATAATTACAATAAATATTTATTGACTAAACATTTAAACTGAAAATAATTTTAGAATTCACAAAAGTACTTCCAAGCCTGCGGATATATAGCTCATTGAAAGAGTAATTTGTCAGATTTTTCCCTCTAAAAATTAATCAACTACTTCTTTTGGACCTATTGTGTGCTTTCTATTGCGGGGTGTTTGAAAAGAAATACAAGAACTCACTTCAGGGAGCTTGGAAAGACAGAGCTGCTCATGAACAATTACTGAAAAGTTAAGTATTGAGTTGTGTGGTACTAGATTATTTGCTTTAGGGCAAGACTCATGCACAGTCAAACACAAATTTGATTTTAAGTATCACTAGAGTCTTTTCACCGCATAGCCCATCTTTTAGCATAGCAACTGGTACATGGTATATACTGTAGAAATGTTGGTTAGCATTAGCATTATATTTTATAGTTCACCAAGAATTTTCTCATAGATTAGAAAATTAAATTTTTGCAACAGTTCTGTGAAAGGTAACATGATGAGAAAACTGAGGCTTAGAATATTTGTCTAATTTAACCTCACACAAGTTAACTGTATATACTGACTCCTTACCCAGTGTTTGTCTAGTTTATATCATAAATGTTGCCTGTTTTGTAATCCAAAGGACGTATAGTAGATGCTTGGTGAAGATTAGTAGTATGGTTTTTACTGCAAGTATTGGAGGGAAAAATTAGGGAAAGCTTCAGTACTAGCAAAAGTTTTTACGTGATTGTCTCAAGGTTATTTTGAGGATCAAATGAGTTAATATGTGAAAAATATTTCAAACAGTGGCTGGCATGTAGTAAATACTCAAGAAATGTTGACTGTTATTTTTGTTATATTCTCATAGATGATGTGCCTTAAACTGTACTTTAAGGATAGCTTTCAATAACTACAAGGAAGAGGAAGTGCACTCTGGGTGGAAGTGAATAATAGTAGCAAGAGAGTGAAAATTGTAAACACGAAGTGTGAGGTAACAGTGAGAAAATGGACTTAATTGGTAGGAAAAGTTTATATTAGGAAATATAAAATTTTTTTGGTATGTAGAGTAGGTTCAGATTATGGAAGACCTGGGGGACAAAAAAAAAAGACTAATTTGGATTTGATAAGGTCAGCAGTAGGGAGCCACTAACATTTTTTGAGCAGGGTGGTTTACAGTGTTTCAGAAAGATTGGTCTGGCTGCAGTATTTGGGACATCAAAAAAGAGAGAACCAGCAGGTGGAAAGACAATAAGGACTAGAATTTGGGTGACAGTAGGAGGATTAAAGAGAAGCAGAAAAAGTTAAGACTTGCAATGAATGAAAATGAAGACTGATATTTTCCTTCTTTTCCCCTCCACCCTGCAATCCCAGCCAAGTATTGGAAACCAAAGTGCCTGAAAGAAGGTGCTGTTAACAGAAAATCACATGGCATGCAAGGAAACTGGTTTGGGAGGGAACAAATGGAGTTCACTGTATGATTAAGGATATCTTTGGTTGTGAGAACTCTGTGGGAACAATAACTTTCTAAGTCATAATACACCACAGTAATTTCCTTACTGTTACTTTTTGGTAAAAGATCATGATATTTATTAGAAAATAAAGTTTTTGTTATTGTTGTTGCATTGGCTAGAAAGCATTTGGTATTAAGTTTAAAGTTGATAACAAAAACAAAAGTTAGGTTTTCAAAAGAGAAGGAAAAACTTAGTCTTGTTTTCCTACATCTCCTTAGACTCCCAGAATTCTTACAAAAACTTAAAATGTGTCAGATGGTTTTGTGTCTTTTTTTCAAATCCACTTTTAACAGAGGGCTAGTTTGGACTATTTGCACTTAATTTTTCGCTGTATTATAGAAAAATATTCTAGAAAAATGTTTGTTAATTCTTGCTAATATTCTTGTTGCTAAAGCAAGAAAACTGTTAAATATTGTGAATTGTCATATGTTTATTTGTGCATCTTCTTCCACTAAGCAAATTCTGTTTCATTTTAATCCTATTTCATAATCAGTCTGCAGTGTGGTGAATTTGGATTCAAGAAATGTGGCTATTTCTTGAATTTATATGGTGAATATGGACTCACTCCATTGCAGATGAATTAATCTCACACTTATAAAGTTGATTCTCAGAAATGTTACTAAAAGCCAAATATATTTTTTATTGTTAAGTTTCATTGTAAAAAAATAATGTGTGTGCTTCTTGTAGGCTTTCAAAAAAGTGTTATATGACATGTCTTTCCTGCTACCTCTTTGCAGTCCTGGTGGTTGTGATTTTTATTGTAGACGTATGCTGTAAATTTATGGCATGTCAAAAGTGCAAAATTTAATATTAATTACAAAGGGAAGGGGAAAGGAAAATACTTTTTGTAGCACAATTTAATATGACTTCCTGACAATATTAAACTTTGGTGAGGAAAAGATACACAGAGCTTGACACATTTGAGAATGGTGAGATTTAAATGAATACAATCATAAAATGGCATAAGGAAATGCTTATCTCATACAGATCATAATTGCTGTATCATGAAAACATACATTGTTCACTCAGAGGAAAACTGTCCTTTATCCACAAAGGACAAATATTTACACAGTACTGCAGTGTAATGTGTCCTAATTAGACAAGGCTAAAAAGCTTTAAAATACTAAACTTTACTTCAGACTGGGCACCGTGGCTAACGCTTATAATCCCAGCACTTTGGGAGGCCAAGGCGGGCAATCACTTGAGATCAGGAGTTAGAGACCAGCCTGACCAACATGGTGAAACCCCGTCTCTATTAAAAATACAAAAATCAGCTATGTGTGGTGGTGGGCACCTGTAATTCCAGATGCTTGGGAGGCTGAGGCAGGAGAATTGCTTGAACCTAGGAGGCGGAGGTTGCAATGAACTTTGATTATGCCACTGCAATACAGCCTGGGTGACAGAGTGAGACTCTGTCTCAAACAAACAAACAAAAACTCAGTTTAGCACCTTTTAAAAAATCACTTGTATTAGTCTGTTCTCACACTGCTATAAAGATACTACTCGAGACTGGTTAATGTATAAACAAAAGAGGTTTAATTGACTCACAGTTCTGTATGACTAGGGAGGCCCCAGGAAACTTACAGTCATGGCAGAAGGCCAAGAAGAAGCAGGCTGCTGCTTCACAAGGCGGCAGGAGAGGAAGAGAGCTAGAGTGAGGGAGTGTCACACTTTAAAACCATCAGCTCTCCTGAGAACTAATTCATTATCACGAGGACAGCATAGGGAGAACTGCCCCCATGATCCAATCACTCCCACCATGTCCCTCCCTCAGCAGGTGAGGATCACAACTCAAGATGAGATTTGGGTAAGAACACAGAGCCAAACCATATCAGCACTCCTCAACAAGTATGAGATAATACAGGAGCTACAGAGTTAACATTCACTGATAGATATACTCAGTATAATTTATTCTGCTCCAGGTCTTGTACTAAGTGTTGAGAATACACTGGGGAATAAGCCAGATACAGTCTCTGTCCTCAGAGAGCTTATGGTCTAGTGGGAAAGACAGCACTAATTATAACTGTGCCCAATGTTGCAAAAGAGAAGTGTAGGTTATCTCAGGAATATATTTTAGGCAAACCTAACCTAGCATCTTTCCCCAAGCTGTGGATAGGAGTAAATGGAGAGAAGAAAGCAGGAAATTTGCACAAAATTACTTATGGACTGGAAAAACCGAAATGTAATAATAGAAGTTAAGTGTTCTATAATTCCAAATTATTAATACTTTTATTTTACTGTGGGGGTGGGTGGGAAGGAGCGAGTGGAAGGAGCATTTAAGATGGATTTTAAAAGACAAATTAGATTTTTAGAAAAGATGTAGGGAAGAATGATCCAGATAAGAAGAGCAATACAGACACATGGTTTATTTGGATAATGTCAAGTAGTTCATTTAATTGTAATATAATAATAGCTCCTATAGTGAGCACTCACTCTGCAGAGGCCTCACAGTATCTTAAATCAGATACTGATTTAAGCTTGAAGTTTGTATTTAATTCAGTAGGCCATAAGCCCGTGAAGTTCCTTGAGGATATGTGTAGTCAGTTCAGATGTGTACTTTGGGAAGCTTCCTCTGGAAATTCTATGTGGGATGATTTGAAAAGTATCTGCGTATGTAGGTAACAGTAGAAGTCAAGAGAATAGTGTCAAGGACACAACCTCGGGAGAAAAGCCAGTGTGAGACTCTGAAGGTGTGCTAGCCTTATTCATCATAGTTTAAAACATAGTTAGAAACATATGTTGCTTAGTGATTAAGAAGCCAGACTTTAGGCCAGACAATTCTGGGTTCAAATAATTACTGATAATTTATTGGTTGTGGACCAGATACTTAACCATGCCAACTCTCATGGGAATTGTGACACCTATAGTGTTGTGAGGATTACATGAATGAATTAGTATTTGTAAAAGGCTCAGTTGGCACTGTGTCTGTCATATAAGATATGCTCAGAAAATGCTAGCTATTACTATATTCATTCATTCAATATGTATTACGTATTTACCATGTGCCAGACACTATGCTAGATGCTGGAATATAATAGCAAAGAAGATACACATGGTCTCACAGGCCTCACAGTTGAGTAGCGGATGTAGACTACTAAAATGGCACGTACATTACTGTACTGGCGGTTCATTGGGCTCTCCTAGCACAGAATTATTCTGGCCTGGGACAGGGTCAGCTTCTCCAAGGAAGTGACTTCTAATCTGAAATAGTCAGTCCTGGCTAAAATAACAACAGTATTATGAAGGGTGTAAGAGAAACTGTTCTATCTGTTCTGGCATAGTTTTACCCTTGTTGCTAATAAAGAACAGCAGTACAGATCTTAAACTCTCTATGTACAACCATAAGTGAGAAACAAATTCATTTGAACTGACAGCTACCAAAGATGCACAGCTGCCATCTGGTGACAAACAAACCCCTTGCACACCCCTTATGATTTGATAAGCTAGATGTTTTACCGAGGTTGTCTGAACAGGATGGGTTGCAGTTGTTGGTAGTAACAGCTTTTTTCATTCTTTCTAAGTATTTATAGTTTCATATTCTGTTTGTCACAGGTCTGAAGTTACTTTTTTTTTTTTTTTTTTAAGTGACAGAGTCTTACTGTATTGCCTAGGCTGAAGTACAGTGGCATGATCATAGCCCACTGCAACCTTTAACTCCTGAGCTCAGGCAATCCTCCCATGTCAGCCTCCCACGTAGCTGGGACTACAGGCATACACCACCATGCCTAGCTGATTTTTAATTTTTTTGTTAAGGTGGGGTCTCACTCTGGTGACCAGGATGTTCTTGAACTCCTGGCCACAAGTGATTGTCCTGCCTCAACTCCCATAGTGCCGGGGTTACAACATGAGCCACTATGCCTGACTCAAGTTCCAGAATTTTAGTGTATTGTTATTAATCCCGTTCTATCTCTATTTTACTATATTTTCTGAAAGCTTGGAAGGTAGTATTACCTTGGGAAAGCTTAATCTTTATAAGAGCAATGACTCTTACAGGATAGGTGTAAACAGTGATACTGCAAACTCTGAGAAAGGAGATACTTCTTGAGGCATATCCAATTGTGATAATATTTTCCATTCATTGTCTTTGCAAAAATATAGTCTAGTTTTGATGAAACAGGAATATTATTTTCTAGATATTTTATTTTTCCAAAGAAAAATAAGTAGATTAGAATAACATCAACTTTCAGATTTCCTAATGAAATAATATGAAGACTTGGGGAATCTGACTGTTTTCTGATTCCTGTTCTGTAGTGCCCTCTGTTTCCCTGTGCGTATACAGATAACCGAGTGTGCTGCAGCTGTTTATGACTCAAAATGACAGGTATAAATGTCGACTTTTACTGTAAATGAGAATCTCATTCAATTGTAACTATTAGCCAAATTTAAGAAAAAAATACATAATTTTTGTGATTTATTAGTGTTGTGATTTACTAGTATACCCAAGTCTACCTGGTTTTTTGAAAAACTGTAAGGTGTATGTTTAAAAAGTGGTGTCCCATGTTAAAGGGTGCTTCATTAAGTGTTGTGCTGTATTTTACTTGGTCAGTTTGATTTTAAAATACCTGCATTATCAAACAAATGACTATTAATTTTTTTTGAGTATTCAGATTTTAAAAGTCTATTTTTCTTCATAGGATGATTCGATTTTATGTAAATTGTGAAAATACTATCTCAAATGATAAGATATTTGCCAAAGTGTATTTGTTTATAAACAGTTTCTTTTTTTTTTCCCTCATTGATTTTTTTTTAAGTGGAAAATGCCTCACATTGTGCTCTTTTCTTTAGGTTCATTGTAGGGAAGGAAGAAATTCCCACACACTCTTTTTCACCAGAGGCAGCATATGCAAAAGTGGAACAAAAGAGAGAGCAACACAAGGAAAAACCCAGAAGAATGAATATGATTGGTCTAGTCAGGAAATTTGTGGATTCAATGTGAGCACTTTATCTTGATATTTTAACCTACTTTGTCACTGTTTCATATGATATTTGTACCGTGCCACGGTATTTTTGTTTTCTATTCAGGTAATGATGATCATTTTTCATCAGAAACTGCATAGAATTTTATAAAAGGCACACAATGGCAAGTGAATATTATTTATTATTTCTGGCAGGACTGTAGACCATCATATGCCTTTAAAATAGGTTTACATAGAATTGGAATACTTTCATATTTCAAACCAGGCAGAATCACAGGAGGCCATGATGGAGAACTTCAGGAAACTGATTAATATGTGTTGATTTAATGTGCCAAGTGTGGAAAGAAGGAAGCAAAATTCCTGAGAGAGATTCAAGAAGATTAAGGAATAATAAGGGACAACCCTTAAGTAAAGGATATTTTGTAAGAGTGAACATTTTTGGGGTTCTCAAACTGAAATGTTTTTATTTGTATATTATAAAAAGAAGTTTTCAGGTTTCATACAGATTTTCGTTTATATTTCTAGTGTAGTGTAGATATTTAAGAAAATAAATTTAATAGTTTGAAATTAGAGTATCAACCAATAAATAAAATCTTGGTAGTGATATTTTAGAGAGGGTGGAATGAGTAGGCAATAAAGAAAGTTAGGGGATCAGTTATAGCAAGGGCTCCTAACCCCTGGGCCATGGGCCAGTATTGGTCCGAGGCCTTTTAGGAACCCGGCCACACAGCAGGAGGTGAGCAGCAGGCCAGCGAGCATTACCGTTTGAACTCTGCCTCCTGTCACATCAGCAGTGGCATTAGATTCTCATAGGAGCACAAACCCCATTGTGAACTGCGCGTGTGAGGGATCTAAGTTGCGTGCTTCTTATGAGCATCTAATGCCTGATGATGTGGAGTGGAACAGTTTCATCCTAAACCATCCCCCTCTCCCGCCACCCAGTCAGTGGAAAAATTGTCTTCCATGAAACTAGTCCCTGGTGCCAAAAAAGTTGGGGACCATTGAGTTATAGGAAGCTGAGGTCCTTTAATAAATTAGAAAACCTATGTTTCACTCTTATTTTCCCTCTACTAGCATTGTAACTTTGGATGAGAGATTTAACCATTGTGCATTTCCAAGTTCTTATCTGTTAACTGGGATTAATAATCTCTATTAAGAATTGCTGTGAGCATTAAATGAGATAACGTCTAGGAACTTGCCTGACATAAAATATGAGCACAGGGAGGGTACTCAGATTTTTATTGAATTTAAAGGTTTTGTCTTCATCTTAACATACAATACATCTAGAAGATAACAGAAATAATTATGGTAGTTGAATTTATTAAACAAGTTCAAAAATAGTTATGGGTTACCTCAGTGGAAAAAAGGGAGAAAGGATCCTATTAATGGAAATAATTTCAACGGGAATCAGAGGGGAATGCAGAGAATGAATTATATGGGTAAATGATGCCTGGGGCGTCAGAACTGATCAGGTCATGACAGAACGTATCAGAGTAGCCTCAGTGGGTCTACTGGTGTGAAAGCAGATGCAGAATAATACAGAAGCAAAGCAAATAATACAGGAGACAGGCAGTCCAGGTTCTGGGAAGCCATTTATGAGTGACTAAGAAAGACTAATTGACAGTACAGTTGATATCAGGATTTAACTTCACTAGCAAAGAAAGGTTAGGCCAGGCATGGTGGCTCACACCTGTAAAACTAACACTTTGGGAGACTGAGGTAGGAGAATCACTTGAGGCCAGGAGTTTGAGACCAGCCTAGACAACATAGCAAGACCCTGTCTCTCAAAAAAATTTTAAAATTAGGTAGGCATGGTGGCATGTGCCTGTAGTCCTGGCTACTCAGGAGGCTGAGGTGGGAGGATTGCTTGAGCCTAGGAGTTTAAGGCTGCAGTGATCTATGATCATTATGATCATGCTACTGTACTCCAGCTTGGGTGACAGAGTGAGACCCCCATCTCTTAAAAAAAAAAACACCAAAACCCCCAAAAACAAAAGAAGCTTAACAATTTCAGTGTAGTTCTGGTAGCAATGGCTGAGAAATGTCTTTGAAGGGGACACTTAAAAGTGTGAAGAGTGATGGCTTGCATGAGGCAGCCTTTCTCTTATTCACTGCTTTTCAGGCCTCCAGCTTTAATCACTCAGCAGCTTCACATGGCCAGATATGCCTTAGCATTCTAAAGATATAAGGGCTATGGCCAGTGTGAACTGAACTGTTGCTGTCACCCTTGACTAGGAAAGGCTGTGTACTCCAGCTGTAGTGCAGAATTGGATTTCTGTAAAGGTCTTGCTAATCAATTTGCGAATGGGATTGGAGAGGTGCAGAGCCAGAACATTGCTCTACAAGTTATTGTTATAAACAGGAAAACATTCATATGGTTCAACCATGAAAATAATTAATTAGCTACAGTCTGAAATAAGTTATAAAGACCGCTTGTTTTGGAACATGAACCCTCAAAGAGAGAGGGAGAGTTAGAACCATGTTAGATATTCTACTTTTTTATGCCTAGGGTTAATAAATAGTCTTGGATTCAACATGCTAAATAATTAAAATGAGTGCATCGTGAACAGTAGTCCTCCCAGCAGAAATATTTATTAAACACTAGAGGGTTAAGTGGTTTACAGTTAAATCACAAATTAACTACTTTTGAATTACCACATGATCTCTATTTCTATATTTATTTCAACTGAATTTTGAATCCTAATACTATATCATGTTTCTTTTCCAGATCTTTTCTCTCAAATCTAATTAAGTATAAATTCCTGTAACCTGAGCACATTCTCATTATGACTTTTGCTCAAGTACTGACTTCATGGATGATTTATTACCATTATACTCTACAATAAGCAATTTAAAGTTTCCAAAAGACTTGGCAGAGTATATACATAATATATACGTATTTTTTCATATTTAATCACAAATACCTAACAGGGTGGTTTCTCTAGTCCAGATTCAAGTATTTTGACTGCAGTCAGGTAGTTTATACAATGTGTCAAAAGGTAAGCAGCAAGTAGAAAAAGCAAAAATATCTGTTGTTCTTGCTTCTGTATGTCCTAAAACACCAAAAGTGACACACATTTAGAAGTAGTGAGTGGCACGGTGGCTCATACCTGTAATCCCAGAACTTTGGGAGGCCAAGGCGGGCGGATCACCTGAGGTCAGGAGTTCGAGACCAGCCTAACCAACATGGTGAAACCCCATCTCTACTAAAAATGCAAAAATTAGCCGGGTGTGGTGGCGGGTGCCTGTAATCCCAGCTACTTGGGAGGCTGAGGCAGGAGAATGTCATGAATCTGGGAGGCAGAGGTTGCAGTGAGCTGAGATTGCACCATTGCACTCCAACCTGGGGGACAAGAACGAGACTTTGTCCCCCCCCCCCAAAAAAAGAAGTGAGTGATGTTTTCTTCTCTTTTTCCTTTTTCTTGGTTAGAAAGTTTTAAACAGATCCACAAACATATACAAACACATGGATATACACACTCTAATTATAATTAGTTTAATTTTTTTGGGTTCACTTTCAGATGCAAACATGGACCAAGGCATAGATGTTGCAAACATTATGAAGATAATTGCATCTCTTATTGCATTAAAGTAAGTATATGAAAGTATGTACTTTATTAACAATAGGGAATGGGTATAGAAATAACTTACTTATTTAGAAATAATTTAAAAGTAAATGGAAAAGTTGACATTAATAACTGCTATCATTCTTTGAATCTGACTTCAAGAGATGAGAAATTTATGACAATAGGTGACAGTTTAGCTTTCAGTATTCACTTACCAGATCCTTAAATAATTTAAAAATTAGCTTATTTAAAAATTGGCTTACTTAAAACTTACGACATAGGAGATAAGATGGGATAACAACAAGGAAACATAAAGTCATTAAAATTTGTACTTTGTAATGTATCCTCATTAGAACTACATCCTAGAACAAGACTCCCAGACTGTGCTGTGTGCTAGCTGGATCAGCAGTCACACACATACACTGTATGCACTGTGTCCAGTCTGGTACAATGGCATTTAATTTTGGACTTGTAAAACTATTACTTTTTTTTTTTTTTTTAAGCCATTGAGGTAACTGGAGCATGTCCACAGTTGCTCTACATTAAGAGAGCTAACTATGCCTGGCATAATTTCCTGACTCCCTAGTGGACTTGTGTACTAGCATGTCTCTCCCTCCTCCCCTGCCGTTGTGTTGTCCCTCCTCCCTTCCCCCATCACCACCACTTCTGGGAAGAAAGTTATTTTCTTTGCAGTCAGCATGGCACAGGTGACACCACCTGCTGCAAGTTCTTTAGTTTTGTTTTTTGTTTTTTTTTTAAAGATGGAGTCTCGCTCAGCCACCCAGGCTGGAGTGCAGTGGTGCGATCTTGGCTCACTGCAACCACCGTCTCCTGGGTTCAAGCAATTTTCCCACCTCAGCCTCCCGAGTAGCTGGGATGATTACAGGCACCCATCATCATGCCTGGCTGATTTTTGTGTTTTAGTAGAGGCGGGGTTTCACCATTTTAGCCAGGCTGGTCTTGAACTCCTGACCTTAGGTGATCTGCCTGCCTTGACCTCACAACACTAGGATTACAGGTGTGAGCCACCACGCCCAGCCAAGTTCCTTAGTTTTGAATGGTGCTCTAACAGTTCCAATGCTGTAGAAAGTTTATGTTCTTCTTGCAATTTTAGTCTCTACTCAGTTGATGATGAAAAGAGCAGAGTTGTGCAGCACCCCAAAAGACAGCCCCTTTATGGTTACTCTAGAAAGGAGGAACTGTCCCACATTAGTGCTCATGAAGGTAAACATCTGTGACCCAGTGTTGACGGTACCATTTGCCCAACCCACACTTAGCTTCACAATTCCCCAGAATGACCAAGGATAAAACAGTAGGGTTTTGTTTAGTTTTGTTCCTTGGTTGTGCAATACTTTCTGACACTCTTTCCAAATTTGATTTCCTGCTTCAGTTTAAAGTGGCCAAAAAAAAAAAAGTAACATTGCTGGCAGTCCAAGTCAGCTGGTACCTGGATTTATTATTCCTTCCAACTGAACATGATTGTAGTTCAAAGGAAAGCATTAGATGGGGATCTAAGAGAAGTATTTGGATTAAATCAGAGGTATTTGAGAAATTTGGAGTGGGGGAGGTAATATTAAAAAAAATTGTATGAGAAAGTTAGTGAGAATTTCCAAGCAGTAAAAAACTAGTGATTCTTTCAAATGTGTACCAGTACTGTAAACTTGGCAATTTATGTATAAATTGGAATACTGTATTATATCCATGAATGTAAAACTATTTGGAGACCTGTGGTTAAGGAATTTAAGCCATAAACATGGTAGCGAAATTTTTTGACAATGAACCTCATTATTTCAAAAACTTAATTACACCATATGTTAAATCACATCCCTGAGTAAATCCTCATATTAATTACATTGTCCTCAACATTCTGTACTTCATTCACACTAACTTTTTCTTGGTTCCTTACACCTACCAGCCTCTTAATTGGCTTTATATTTTCTGTCTGAGCTGTCTGAAACGTTTTTCTCATGCTAACTTCTTCTCTTTTGGTTCTATTTAAATGTCACATCATTTACATGTCTGCCCTTAACATTTAATCTAATATAGATTGCCCTGTTAATGTCTATCCTAGTGTCTTGATTACTTCCTTCATAACATTTATTATAATCTTTTTTATTTGTTTACTTAGTTATTTTCTTTTCCACTAATGAACATGAAAGCTCCACGAAGGCAAGAACTCTGTCCTCCTCGTCACTGTTATCCCCAGCATCTAGTGTAATGTTTGGCACATAACAGGCATTCAGCAAATATTTTCTAAGTACATTAATGGGTGGATGAATAGTTCTCTTGAAAATAGTATGAAAAAGATTGTAATGTAATTATAATCCCTAAATCCTTAGATTATCATTATAAGGTTATCAGTGGCAAGATAGAAGTGTGACCATTTCATTCATTTAACAAATACTAGGCAATTTCAGTTAAGCAGATGCTTGAGAATTCACAGTAATTGATTGGACAATTTGATTTTATGTTTTAATAAGGTATTAGGTAGTTTCAGGTAAATTAACCAGTGTTTCCTCATAGTAATTAATTCTTTTTCTAGAAAAGAAAGCTGTAGTCCAGAAAATACAAACCTGACTTTTGGGCATACGCTGCTAAGAGTGTAAATATTTTCCCATTCCAGTCGGAGTTAGAGAGGAGGAGGATGGGACACTGGTATTAACAATGTATTGGTTGAACTGTATAGAAAATGCTATTCTTTTTGTTAATGTTTTGTGCTAATTGAAATTTTTCAGTTTAATATTAATTACTTATAGTCTCTCAGACATCTAAAATTCATCTTCGTAAATACGGAAATGAAATTGACCAATAATAGTCATCCTCTCCAGATCTCTTTTGCATTATGGACAGTTGAAGGAAATATAGAGAAATGTTACCAGTAAATTTGTAGTAGGTTTGCTTTTTCAAGTTTAATTTGATATACCTTAAAGCTACTCCTCCCTAGGGATGTTTTAGCCCGACATAGTGGAGCACATGAATGAAAACCTAGATATAATTATGCACTCCCTGCCCCCTGGAAGTTCTTCTTACCTGACCATTTTAAAAATTAGCACCAAAGGTCTGAACAAATAATGAAAATATTTTTCTATGAAAATAATCCCTACTCGTGCTAATCATTAAGAGCAGTTTTCTGTTAACATTTTTCAAGAGCATTTGGTTTTATTAAGTAGTTTTTGGAATTTTAGTGCTTTTGTATGTAAAACTCATTTGTGGTTTAGGAATTTAAAATCCTGATTATTGTCAACAAAATGTCAAGAAATGGAATTCTGGTACATAGGCAAGCTTGGCCAGTGCTTGTGAGACTTTTTAAGTCTTTGTAAATCAAAGAAAGTAAACTCATTCCAAGACTTCACTCTTATTTTTAAGGTAATTGTTTTAAAATTATTGTTTGAGGTTTTAAGGCTTTATTTTGAAAGTTGCTGTGCTATAAACTTAGATTAAATTTGTTTTGTCTTGTTTCTATTTTGAGATGGTAAAATTCATATTCTATGAAAAACTTCAAAATTTGTTTGTAAATCAGATTTTCCTCCAAATTTCCTCTAGGGTTTCATCAGAATGTTTAGCGTGGGGTACTTGATCCAGTGCTGCCTCCGAATCCCCTCTGCATTTAGGCATCTATTTACACAGCCATCTCGGCTACTTTCTCTCTTCTACAATAAAGAAAACTTCCAGCTTGGAGCTTTTCTTGGCTCTTTTGTTAGTATATACAAGGTAAGGCTTTTAGAAGAGGAAAGAAAAATGGGAAATAAATAACATTGCTATTGTTAGAATGAGAGATGGCCTTAGTTCACTTATTTTTTAATGCTTCTTTCTGGAATATTCATAGATACCTTGAACATAACCAGATCTATACAATGTATTGGGAAGTGAGGGTGCAGAAATTTCTTCTTTTAAAATATTATTTAATATACTTGAATGTGTAGACATGTTTGCATTTAGATGTGGTGTTAAACATTGTCAGATTCATTTTCTTTTTCAGTACATAGACACTCAGAAAATATGAATTTTTTGGGTATTTCCAACATCAAAAATGATATTAATATGCCTGGTTTATTTGTTTTTTTAATCATATTTACTGCCTGGTTATTAGTTTAAATGTATTTCAGATCTTTCTAGCTGAAATAAACACTTGATAGAATCGGTGAGGATTTTCTATTGTAACTTATATAAGCAATGACTTATGTTCCTTCTTCCACCCACTCCCGGTTGCTACTACACTGTCTCAAATAACCAGAGTTCACAGTCTTCCACCCCATTCTGTATGTTCCTATAAAAGTGCCCGCACATATATAAGCCTACACCTAAACATATATGTAGAGATCATTCTTAACCTAGTACTCTGCAACTTTAAGTGATGGCCTTTTGCATAATGGAGTCACTAGTATGTAAATCATATTTTATAAAACACTTAAAAGATTCTTAATCTGAATATAGTCTCTAAATGGTAAAGTGTGTTAATTAATGTTGACCTAACACATGGACATAAAGATAACAACAGAAGTCACTGGGGGCTTCTAGAGGAGGGAGGGAGGGAGGGAGCAGGGCAAGAGTTGGAAAACTAGTGCCTGGGTATCAGGAACAATCATACCCCAAACCTCAGCACCACACTTTATACCCCATAACAAACCTGCACGTGTATCCCCCGAGTCTAAAAAAAAAAAAAAGTTGCAATTGAAAAAAAAAAAAAGAGATTAGAACATGTACACACACAGAGGAATGACACACGAGGACACAGGGAGAAGGTGGCCATCTGCTAGCCATGAAGAGAGGCCTCAGGAGGAGCGAACCTTGAGCATACCTTGATCTTTGAACTCCCAGCCTGTATGACTGTGAAAAAAATTGATTTGTTGTTTTTTTTTTAATCTACAATCACAAATTGCTCACTTTTGCCATAATTTTACTCTATAAAAGATATGTGTGGCCGGGCGCAGTGGCTCACGCCTGTAATCCCAGCACTTTGGGAGGCCGAGGTGGGCGGATCATGAGGTCAGGAGATCGAGACCATCCTGGCTAACACGGTGAAACCCCATCTGTAATAAAAATACAAAAAAAATTAGCCGGGTGTGGTAGTGGCACCTGTAGTCCCAGCTGCTGGGGAGGCTGAGGCAGGAGAATGGCATGAACCCGGGAGGTGGAGCTTGCAGTGAGCCGAGATCGTGCGACTGCACTCCCACCTGGGTGACAGAGCGAGACTCCATCTCAAAAAAAAAAAGATACATCTTTTGAGCACAGGGATTGTGGCTCATTTTGCAGGAACATGCAGCAGGCATTCCAATATGTCTGACTAATGAATTAAGGACATTAAAGGAGTGTGCATTTTCGTAGATGGGATTTGTCTACCTTCCCTCTGTCTACAAAAAATATATATATATATATATTTCATTCATATTTTATTTCTTTGAATAAGTGTTAATGTATATTTTAATAAATATATTGAAAGAAGGATATATATTCTGTGGGTATATATATGTGTGTATATATATACATGCACATATACACACTTTTTGTTAAACTCAAATAAAATTAATGAGGGGAAAACTGAATTCTAGAATTATTTAGGGTAACATGGTCAGTGTCATTTTCTGTAAAAATGTACACATACAAGATAGGTATGGATAAAATATTTTGAAAAGGAAAGGAGGAATAATTAACTATAGATAATGGATCACTTGTTATGAAATATTACTAATGTTAAAAACATTTTCAATATGGTTTGACTAGGAAGCATTACTAATGTATTTGAATATACAAGAGTTAAGGACAGATTATTGGTAATTGCATGTTTATATTCACATTTAAAAAAAATTTCTCACGTTACAGCATTTGTATTTATTCTTAACGTAAACTCTTAACTATTTACATGTGGATTATCTCCAACATTTTTAGCCCCAGGTTGGTTATTCCCTACCATCTAGCATATCTCAGAGTGTGTTTTGTTTTGCTTTTTTATTTTTCATTTCTGTTACTATTTATTTGCTTAGGTAATACGAACAAATGGTATTAAACTAACAAAAATACAACTGGGTCAGAAAATTTCAGAAAATATTCATGTGGTGTGTTCAAAAACTGTATGTGATTTTTCAAAAACAAATTGCCCATGCTATAGTATCTTTGTAAGAATGTTAAGAGAAGGGCAGGCAAATAAACCTTGTTTTTTCTGTTTCTTGGTGAACTGACCCTTTTTAAAAAATTTGGTAAGGTTCTTCTTTATCTCTGGTAATATTCATTGTTTTATAGTCTACATTTAATGTTAATATAACTACTTCAGCTTTTTAAAATTATCGTTTGATGTAATAATGTTTCCATTCTTTCACTTTAATTTTTCCGTCTTCATTTGAAAAACTAGTTTCTTTTAGGCTGGAGAGAGTTGACCCTTTCTTATAGAATCTGATCATCTCTGTCTTCTAGTTGACATGTTTGTGCTGTTTACATATAATGTATTATATGTAAACATATATAGTTTATGATGTGATTGAGTTTAAACCTACTTTCATGTTGTTTTGTGTTTGCTCCTTTTTTTTCTTCCTTTTTTTTTTTTTCTTTTTCGGCCTTCTGGATTGATTGTGTATTTTACTATGGCTCTATTCTATCTTCATGATTGCCTTATTATTTGTGCTTGCTTTCATTTAGTGGCTGCCTTAACATTTTATAATACACATTTTTAATGTATCAGCCAATCTTCAAGTAATGTTATACTACTTCACATACAGTGTCAGACCTTACAACACTGTACTTTGAATTTCTCCTTCCCATCCTTTGTTATAGAATTTAACATTCATCGTTTATTTTTATGTGTTATACACTCCACAATGCGTTGTTACTATTTTTGTTTTAGATCAGGGGTCAGCACACTTTTTCTGTGAAGAGCCAGATCATGACTATTTTAGGCTTTGTGACCATATGGTCTCTGTCATAACTACCCACCTCTGCTGTTACAGTGTGAAAGCAGCTATAGACAATATATAAATGAATGAGTGTGGCTGTTTCAGTAAAACTTTATCACACTATAATTAGAACTTTGTATTATTTTCACATCGTAAAATGTTGTCATTCTTTTATTTTTCATTTATTTAGGACTATAAAAATGATTATTAGCTCCTGAGCCATATAAAAACAAGTGGCAGGCCAGATTTGGCTAGTGAGCCATAGTTTGCTGACTCCTATTTTAGATAGTTAATTAACTTTTTGTGCAAGTAAATATAAGAAAAATATGTCTTCTAAATTTACCTTCACTTTTCTATTTCCAGAACTCTGCATTTCTTTTCATAGTTCTAAATTTTTGTCTCGTGTCATATTCCTTCTATCTTTAACATTTGTGTGAGCTCAGATCTGCTGGTCATGGATTTTCTCAGCTTTTATTTGTCTGGAAAAAATATTTGTTTCATCTTCAGTTTTGAGAAATATTTTCTCTGGGTATAGAATTGTGGCCTGACAGACTTGTTTAACCAGCATTTTGTTCTTGTTAAAATGGGAATGATGCTTTTCTCAGCATTCGATAGCTAGGCAAAAGTGGAATTTATGGATTTATTTTGAAAAATCAGTGCAATAAAAATATTATGTGTAATTTCTTAATAGAGTCTATCCAGAGTAATAACTTTATAAAATATTATTTTTCATAATTTTTCCAATCACATATTCAGTTTGATTTAGATAAGATCACTAATTGAACTGCAAGGTAATCTGATGAATTGATTCGTTATAGTTGTTTTTGTTTTATGCTTTTGTTTCTAGAAATGAAATAACTGTAGTCATTGTATTTTCTCCTTAACTAGGGTACTAGTTGCTTCCTGCGCTGGATCAGAAACTTAGATGATGAACTACATGCTATTATAGCTGGTAAAGCAATAATAAAAAATGAATAGTTATTATTGTATTAATCAGTGGTAGGAATGAATTAGAAATACCATCCAATTCATCCAATTTCTATGTATCTTCCTTTCTCTATTGTAATAGAATCCCAGTTGAGGCACTTGTCCAAATACTTTGTGATGTTTAACATATTAAGGCACTGTTGCCATCTGATGTTTTGAGTTGACAGTGTAATGACTTGGGTATCTGTCCTGCTATAGGCCATAAATCCTAACGAATGTGTCACAAAAGAACGTAAAGCCTTATAGTTACCATATAAGTGATTAATGGAAGTTCAAGTAGATTTCATTGAAAATTCTATTTTTACCATGAGAAAATGGCATATATTTTCATAATAACTTTTTAAAGGACCTTAATCATTTTATTAAAAAATCTAAATATTATTTTCCATAAGTGTAATATATTATTAAATTAAATAGATAATTTATCAGGTATTTATTAGGAATAATCTTAGTTATTAGTATTCAACAACTCCTCTCTTCCCCTGGCCTTGGTTTTCCATTTATAGAATGAATGAAAGCAGTGCTGTGGAGAGAAGTATTGATAGCACTAAAAATTATTTGAACTATTTAATATTAGAAGAATATATGAATAAATATTTCCACTTAAAATCAAAATGATACCAAAAGGCTTTGAAAAATTATTTTTTTAAAATTGTATTTGGCAAGACCACTCCTCTTTAAAGTTAAAATAGAAGTGTAAAGCTTTTTGTTATACATAAATCAGAACTGTTTATTTCTAACTCTGAATATCAATTTTTAAATAAATATGCAATAATAACTCACCCCATTTTAATGTCATCTGGTGTATTACTGTCCTTGATTGTGTTGTAACAGAGGTAGTGCTGATTCTGTGTAACTGAATTTACATTTCTGATGACGTAATGCTAAATAAACACTTTGCGATCTTATCAGTTATTTCTTATTTCTTGTTTCAGGATTTTTGGCAGGTATATCAATGATGTTTTATAAAAGCACAACAATTTCCATGTACTTAGCATCCAAATTGGTAGAGGTAAGCAAAATTTTTATGCATGAAAAGTTCCAAAGAATATAAAGCTTTTAGCTGCAGACTGTTTTAACAGCAAATATATATCCCAATGGCAAAAGTAAATTTTAATCCTCTAAAAGTATTTGCAAAGTTGATTCCCCTGTGTTTTTCTGTGTATGTGTGTGTTATTTTCAAATATACATTAATTATAGAAAGAGTAGTGTAATTAACCTTCATGCACCCATCATGCAGCTTCAACAGTTACCAGCATTTGCCCAGTCTCCTTTCATCTACACTCCTCAACCCCACAGGTACCGAATTGTTTTAAAGCAAATCCCAGACATTATATCATTTCATCCTTAAAAAAATCTCAGAGTAAAGACTCCTTAAAGAATAAAGGCTAAAGGCTTCTTCAAAACAAACAAATCAACAATACCTCAGTATCATTATCATACATTAAAACCCTCCCAGTAATTCCATAGTAATGTAATATATCCAATTAGAGTTTATGTCTTCACTGATTATCTTATAAATATCTTTTTACAATCATTTTATTTTAATCAAGTTCCAAACAAAGTTTCTTTTAGTTTATAATAGTTACCCCCCTACTACTGCTGCTACAGCTTTTCTTCCTCCTTCTCCTCCTTCCTTGACATTTATTTGTTGAAGATGTAGGTCATTAGTTCAGGGAATTTCCCAAATTCTGAATTTTGCTGATTGCATCCTCACTGTTGTTAACATGTTTATTTAACTCATGAATTTTAAAAATTGTTAGATCTTGAGGCCTAAGCAAATTCAGGTTTAAATTTTTATAGGCGGTAACAGACATACTTCACATTTACTGTGTATGTGAACTTTCAATTGCATGACGAGGCACAAAAATGTCTGGTTGTCTCTCTTATTGTAATGCTAAGATTGATCAGTGGGCTTAGGTGTTGATAGAGCCAACATAAGGTTCCCCAGTAGCCTTTTAGCTAGTGGTTTTACCAGCTGTTAATAATCACTGGGATTTATTATTTCATTAAGGGTTGTAAAATGATGAAAAATACTATTACTGTTTGTTCATTCTGTGTTTATTAGCTGAAATTGTTCTAAAAGCATTTTTCATTTTCAACTGGTTACTCTGAAATATGTTGTTCTGGGAAGTCAAAATAAAATGCTTGATTACTTCATTTTTAATTATCAGTGTTTAGAATGAGTTAGTACGTTAGCATCCTGCAAAGTTGACCAATGAGTCTTTATTTTTAAAGTATCATTATGAAGATTTGGAGTTTAACATATATGATTTATTTTAACCCATTGCAATCATTATGCTCAAATTGTTCCCATATTTGGCCATGAGAGCTTCCTTAAGTTGACTCCTGTTTGTTGTAACATAACACCATTATCTTTGATAGCTTTCTTGCTGTAAGACAATATATTCCAGGCTCATCTGGGACATTTTCTGCCTCAGACATAGAATCAGTCTTCTCTGTAATGGCTCCTAGTTTGTTTTAGTGGGAAATGGTATTTAAAGATTTCAGTCCGGGTACTAGAGGTTATTTGCTCCCAGGCTAGTTACTGAGTCTTGGCTTTCGCAGTGAATGGAGCTAGAGAATCTCCCTCCCCTTTCTTCTTAGAGACAGAAAATACATTTGGAGCATATTGATATTTCTAATTCAAAGTTAAGAGTATAGCTTTTATTTAACTTGTTTAATTACTTGCTTTACCCAAATATGTGCTTGTGTGTGTGTGTGTGTGTGTGTGTGTGAGAGAGAGAGACAGAGAGAGAGAGAGAGAGAGATTGAGAGAATATATACATCATGAAATCAGGAGGACAGGCAGGAGCCAGATCATGTAGGATTTTAAAAGCTGGGGTAAATAATTTATTTTTTTTTCTCAGTGCGCTGGAAACCACTGAAGAGTTTTAAGCATGGAAATGACAGTATTTAATTCACATTTTAAGAAGAACATTCTGGCTACTATATAGAGGGAGGCAGGACCGAAGCTGAGAGAACAGTTAGTCTCTGTCAGGAGATGGTGCCTTGCACCACAATGGTAGCAGCAGAGATGGAGAGAACTACACAGGTTTGGTGTATGTTTAGGAGTAGAGTTGACAAGACTTGCTAATGGAGAGGAAAAGGGAACTGAGAGAAAGAAAATAATCCTTAGGTGGCAAAAATATATTCTTTAACACAAGACGAAACCAATATTGAGATCTAGTTTATTAAAGGGGTTTTACAGTGAAGTGGCCAGAGTTTTTTAAGGCAAGCAATGGTATCTCTCCCTTTCTTGTGTCATCAGGCCATATCTGATCCTGGCAAAAGAAACTGGCATATAAACTGTGCTGGTGGAGACTTTAAAAAAAAAAAAATTAAGGAGATTAGAAATTTAAGCTTGCTATGTCCTTTTGTGGAATTTGTTGCTCTGTTGTAATAGACAATCATTTTTCTATGATTGAAGTTAATTTTATATTAAAATGCTCTATTACTGTAGAGTGAAAATGATATAAAAATCAACTGTATAGACCATTGTTTTCTAGGAACCTCTGAGTCAAATGCATATTTTTATTTAGTATATATTATGTTCTCATTACTGTGCTACATACTGGAAAGAGTATAGAAGTATAGGATATGGTTTCTATCCTTCGTTAACTTAGAATCTGGTTTATTAAATGAATTTTATTATAAATAATTAGAAACACAGTTATTCTATCTATTGGGAAATAGCTGTTTCACTTAACATTTGTGTGATGCAGTTCTACCACATCTGAATTAAATTTTCTTCAACATGAGTACAGCACAATATATCTGTATCTTGCAATATACTGTTACATTTTTTTTCAAAATAATGGCCAATGTATATTTATTTATCTTGTTTCCAAAATAGATTATAACTTGGTATATATCTTACAATTCTCATATATCCCAGTCTCTTACACATATTATGTACATTTAATCCTCAGTATATACTTTTGGGTTGATTTGTATGTAAAGTATTCACCTTATCATTTCCTTTGTTGCTTTGCTCTTTGGTTACGGTAGCTTATATAGATCTTGAGGATTCTTTTTATGGCAATTCAGTTGGGATATAATTTTAAAAGAGTCTGATTTACTTAGCAAGTATTTTAATGCCATAGTCTGGGGTAGGTATTGAAGACCATGCAAAGTTGAAGAAGAGAAGGTTGTTGCCACCTGTCAGTGACTTCTTTTGAGTTCTCATCCTGTTTATATTCTTTATTTTGTGAAGAACAGTGCCCAGCATGTAGATACCGTTAAATGTTTACTGAATAAATTAATGAAGGATGAACAGATCTATCAGGGAGGAGAGCACATGAGCACTGTACAGAAAGCATTGAAGAGTAAATATCATTTAAAAAGCAGAAATAAAATGTTACTGAATTTACAGAAAAGTATTACTGCTTGAAGCTGGGATTTGGAGCAAAACAGTGAGGGAAAGGGAAGGGCTGACCCTTAACATCATTATGAAAAATATGACATGGTTTGAGCTCTGAAGGGAGTATTAGGATTCAGAAAGATAGAAAACATAGTTGTAGGCAGGGAGCACAATGCTCAACTATGTTTTTAATGCTGAGGTTTTTTCTTTATAACTCTTGTCTTATGCTTGTTTTGCAGACAATGTATTTCAAAGGCATTGAAGCAGGGAAGGTTCCCTATTTTCCTCATGCAGATACTATCATCTATTCCATCTCTACAGCAATTTGCTTCCAGGCAGTAAGTATAGCTTCTAGAAATGAGAAATTGAATGATTCCTGTTTCTAATGTACATTAATCAAATGGGAGAAAAACAAACTCTGGGAACATTTCTGTTTACAGTATTACATTTTAAGCTTCTTTTTTTTGTTTTTGTTTTTGTTTTTTGTTTTTTGTTTTTTTTTCCAGCAAGATAGCTTACAGGCTTCTGATCTTTAAACATGTTAACTTAATGGGCTAGGTCCTTTCTATGAGTACACCAATTTTTAGGTTTTAATAGACTACAATTTATAAGTAAATTATTATTCCAGTACCTTGGGAAGAATGCCCCAATTTAATTATCCTTCCCTTTGATTAGAAAAAAAAAAAGGATAATAGGGATATGCTGGTAATAGGCATAGGCATAAATATAAATAATTACATTTCTCCAATATTCAGAATGAGGATGAGGAAGAACTAGTTTCATATAAGCATTGTTCAATCTCTAAATTCTGTAACCATTATTATTGACATTAATGGTGTTAGGGCTGTTTTAAAATTTTGGGGAAAACTTTTATTTGCTCTTTCTCACAAAATGCTGCCAGGTTGAAAAACTCATTAAAACTAATGAAGTATCAATATCTCAGCAAATCCTTCCTGATAATGACTATTCACTTAATTATTACTTCAAAAGCAACTTTTTTTTTTTTTTTTGAGATGGAGTTTTGCTCTTGTCCAGGCTGGAGTGCAGTGGCGCAATCTCAGCTCACTGCAACCTCCGCCTCCTGCGTCCAAGTGATTCTCCTGCCTCAGCCTCCCAAGCAGCTGGGATTAAAGGCATGCACCACCACGCCTGGCTAATTTTTGTATTTTCAGTAGAGACGGGGTTTTTCCATGTTAGTCAGGCTTGTCTCGAACTCCCGACCTCAGGTGATTCGCCTGCCTCAGCCTCTGCAAATGCTGAGATTACAGGTGTGAGCCACCGCGCCCGGCCAAAAGCAACATTTTTATTTGAAGGCATATTTATGAAGATTCTTGATAGTTACCAACTTAAACATCAATACACCTTTGTGTATTTCATCACTTTCAGTTTTCATTTATACTTACTAAAAGAATTCTCAAATTTAATAATCTTAGGCTGTCATGGAAGTTCAGACTTTGAGACCATCTTACTGGAAGTTCCTTTTAAGACTCACCAAGGGCAAGTAAGTGACTAAGCAGTTTTCTTAAAAATATTATTAGTGGTTTTATCTTTTTGAGGGAATATTCTTTCAGTGGTAAAGTAGGTATTTATATATAAATAAAATATGAGCAACTTACTAAGAATAACATGGGGCGTTTTTTGAGTAATCATTATTCTGACCATTCTTTTCCCTGTATAATGTAGATGTTTTAAGTGGTCTAGATTAATATCATGTTGATTTGCTAACTACTGATTAATTGCTACATAAATACTTAAGTCTGACTGTTTGAATCATTGGCCATTTCTTTTTTATTAAAAATATTAAGCAGATTCATTAAAGATCATCTCTACTTAATTAACTGATTTCCATTTAGGAAATAGTCATATTGCGTTGCTTCTTGTTGTAAGTATACTTTCCTCTACCTTACGCATCATTTTTACTTTGTTTTGTTTTCTCTCCTGATCTTAATCTAATTCTTTGGGAGGCATTTTGACCTAATAGAAAGAGCATGGGTTTTAGAGTCAGGCAGACCTAAATTTGAGTCCAGCTCTGCTACTTCAGCTGTGTTACTATGGAAAATTATTTACCCTCATGCGCGCAAGTTTTTTTCTGTCTACAATGAAACAATAATGCATACATTGTGTGGTTGTAGGAAAATCAAGATGCTTATAGTAGCACTGGGTAAATTGCACATATTAGTATCATTACTAAGAATAATAGCAAATACTTGTATAGTGCTTACAATGTCCAAGGTGTGGTTTTAAGAGGCACACATACAATATACACGTATACATAAATATGCATTTAATCCTTAAATCCTAACTCTATGAGTCAGGTACTATTATTATCCCTGTTTTACATATGAGGAAGCCAAAATGTACAAAGGGGTTAGATAGCTTGCCAAAGTCACTCAGTTAGTAAATGAAGGAGCTGGAACATAAATCAGGCAGTCTGGCTTCAGAACTTTCCCTCTTACCCGTGTCGCTGTAGATCCTTTATTTATTATTGTGTAATCATTTTTTTGTCATTTAGTTTTCTGCACATTAATGAGTTTTACTACTTGATTATTTTGGAAGGGAACTTACTTTGGAAAAGTACTCAAAGTCACATTTATAGGCTGTCAGAATAATGCTGGCCAGTGATTCAAAACTAATTTCATTCAGCTGTTTTCTCCAGAAAGGAAATAAGGAAATGCTTGTGAATAAGCACAGAGACCCAGAAGGTCTATCCTGTACATTAGCTAAATTTGTGTATTTGAAAAATGTTATATATCTTAGGTTAGGTAATGGATAACATTAGGGTATGTTTTTACTGTGTTGTGTCTATTAGACATTTGAAAACCTGTATGCTGTTTGCCTTTTATTCATTAAACATTTCCACATTTGAATGTGTTTTCATTTGATTGTGAGACATTAAGATGTCAATTATGAGAGGAATTACATTTAATGCTTTTGCCTCATTGGTAATGTTAGTTCATTTATTGTTTAGTTTCCTGTGAATTTATTCATCATAAAAATAATAATGAACCTAATTTTCTATTTGATACAGTCTAGTGGAAAGAATTCTAGAAGGGTTTGAAATAATGATTGTAATCTCTGTGGTTTCAGATCTGGGGATTATCTCTTTAAGTAAAATATGAGACAGTGTATCTCGAAGAAAAGCATTCATGTGACTTGGATCTGCCATTGAATTTAGATCCTTTGCCACGTTAGCCTTTTCTGTTTTCCCATCCCACAAAAGATAAGTCAACTAAAATGAATTATTTTATAAACTATATTAATACTTGGTTTACTGTATTCTTTGTTTTACAGATTTGCTGTCATGAACCGAAAAGTCCTTGATGTTTTTGGTACTGGTGCATCTAAACACTTTCAGGATTTCATCCCCAGGTTGGATCCAAGATACACAACTGTAACACCAGAGTTGCCCACAGAGTTTTCTTGAAGATGACTGTAATTTATTAATGTGACTAAATGTTTCATTTTGAAGAGTTAATTATGTCGAACACAAAGGAGGGGGCCCAAGCTCAAACTTCAGTGTTATTTCAGTTAGAGATACTCTTTTCATTTGTGTTGTTTTTCTTATGAATCAGAAATTCAGAAGCTTTTTAGGAAGGTGTTGCTTAATAATTAAGCTTCCTCCATAGCCAGAATAAGATTCTGGATCACTGTAGTGATTGACATTATTATATATTATTGATCAAGTTATGTCCATAAGCAATATTATATAATCTATGTAGAAGTGTAATAGCAAACAAGAGTACACTTAAAATTACTTTAAAAGATGTCTTTAGTTCATTCCAATATAATTCTTGATTAAAATTAGGATTATTTCTATGTTTTAGGATTTACAAAGGATCACGGGTACATGGATTTGGTCTGAATTTTTTTTTTAAGTTTGGAATTGGTATCTGTAGTAGTGGAATGTTATAGATTTGAAGTAACTCTCCACGGACAGTGCTGCTTTCGTGTAGAGCAATTTAATTGGAGAAATGGCCATTCTTACTTCAGGGATGCAAAGATGGGTCTCATACCATTTGGATAAATGTCGTGGTATCCATGCTTTTCTTTCAACTAATAACATCATCTCTCTTCATGACCAGTTAGTTGGGATATTTGGCAGCCTAGCAAACCTATGTACTAATGGCAGGTTAGGGGTAAATGGAAATGGACACATCCAACAGAGTTGAAATGTATGTTTGAATCTTTCACAGAAGTATTACACTTGAATATTTAAAAACAAAACTTTTTTTTTTTTTGAGACGGGGTCTCGCTCTGTTGCCCAGGCAGGAGTGCAGTGGCCGGATCACAGCTCACTGCAAGCTCCGCCTCCCAGGTTCACGCCATTCTCCTGCCTCAGCCTCCCATGTAGCTGGGATTACAGTCGCCCGCCACCTTGCCCGGCTAGTTTTTTTTTTTTTTTGTATTTTTTAGTAGAGACGGGGTTTCACGTTGTTAGCCAGGATGGTCTCGATCTCCTGACCTCATGATTCGCCTGTCTCAGCCTCCCAAAGTGCTGGGATTATAGGCTTGAGCCACCGCGCCCAGCCAAAAACAAAACTTTTAAACTTCCTATAGGTTTATTATGTTTGTTTTCATTTATATGGACATAATTCTTCATAGCTCAGTTTATATGCTATTGTTGTGTTAGAAGGGATCAAAATCCTATGGAACAAAGTAGTCTTGGCAAGTTGGCAGTTTGTGTCCTCTCAGCTGTTTAACTTATGTAATGGATGTTTTGCACCTGAAAACACTATAAAAATCCAATGTTTGTTTAAAAAGTCCATTTTGTCACTAATTGGATTCAGGTTCTCCAGCCTTCTTCTTGAATATCATTGTCACCATTTTTACTGTTAGAATAAAGAGGTGACACCACAAAGTCCTGCTGATAATGAGAGTAGTTCAGGACAGCTGTGATTGAAATATGGTCACTATTTACAGTTTTTGGGAAAAGTTATACTTTTCTATGTTAATAAAAAGCTGAAGTGGTCTACAGTTAATGTAACATGTAGGGATGATGATATTTTTAAAATACATTTTGTTGCTAAAAACTTTTTAGGCCATTGCAAATTATGCAGTAGAACTTGTGTTGCAAAAGGAATTATAACCCACACTTTAAAAATGCTTAATCCCCCATATTCAATTTCATCAAGCCTTGTATACTTCTTAAATGTAATTCAATCCTTGGTTGTTATGGCAAATAGAAACCCAACAAAAAGACAGACTTGGGTACCATGGTAACAGAGCCACTTTATCATTTGGTCAAAATTTGGCATTATGATTAGCCTTTTAGAATTGACAGTGCTGTTTAGAATTGGCAATGCTGTTAAAAGATCATTTTGGTTTCAGACTTCAAAGTTGATTAATAAATTTAATCTTAACTTTTTATTCACTGGAATCAAAATGATTGGTACTGTGTTTACTGTTTAAAATGAAGCACCGAGAGAGCACTGCTAACTGCACCTCATTTTCTTTATCCAGAAATTGTGCTTATATATTTTCCTGTCAGGTTAAAAAAGATGTTTTAATTCATAAATTATTGTTTTCATTGACACTAAAAGACTGTGATATTGAAAGACGAATTATGAAATTTGCTGAGATTGTTTAGTAAAATTTTGCTGGTCAAAAAGGTGTATTTCTACAATTTACTTTTTCATTTTTATAAATTGCAGTCATTTTTCAAATTTTATATAAAATGTAAAATGAAATAGCTATCATGAAGCAGAACACAATGATGAATGTATAGGTTGAGTGAATAGTTAACCAATTTGCAGTGGTGGATTGAGAAGTCCAGTTTGATTTCATTGGGACAGACTGCAAAGTATAGTTGTTTGAGCAAACACAAAGACACTTTGTGTTTTTGAAGACAATCAGAATGATTACCTTTCTACCTCTAACTAATCAGGTATTGATTGACAACTTTTTGGCATTATAAATAAAGTAAAATAGATCTCTGCATTCCAAAACATGTTTTTTAGTTTATTTATATCCTGAAGAAATGGTAAGTTTTCACTGGAACTGATTACAGTAAACAATACTATGTCCCCTTAATCTTTCTGACATTTTTATGTAGATAAAGATGGAAAAACAGTGCATTTGGGGCAGTGGTATTATGGTCATTTCATTGCTATTTTCTGTTTTAATAAAATCCTAGAGCTAGTACCAACCGAGTAAAGACTGAGTTTGCAAGATAACAGATTGTCTCAAATCTATTCAATTCTCAACAGTTTTTCACCAAATAATTTCAGGATCCATTTTATTACGCATTTTTGAAGTAACACCTTTGGTTCAGTTATATTTTCTCATAAATTCTGCATTTGCTTCTGTAACTTTTTTCTTGAGCTATAAGCATAGTCATCACTCAGTTGATATCTAGTTTATTTTTTGCCTTCATTTGTTGTTTAGTCAGTTGTTATTTAATTTAGAATGTTATCTTTTTTTGGCTCTCAGATTTTATAATGAACTTTTATTAGAATGAACATATATTTTTTTGATGGAATCCAAACTGAGCAAATGTCACACAGTATTTTCTTGTGCTCGAGTGTTCATCTCCTTGTAGATTGTATCTAGGCTAACATTTCATTTAGTTGTTAATGCTGACAGAATTGTTTCCTGGTTATATTTTATTATATCCGTGAGCTTCTGCATGCTCTACATTTCATAGGTAGTGAAAAGCAATGTCCTTTACTCTCAAGGAGCTTCGTCCGCTTGCCTGTGTCACAACCTCTCCCTTGGTGCTAATTAGGAAGCTTCTTGTGGGGCTGAAGGGAAATGATCACTGGAGCAATGACCCAAATGTTGTTTTGGAGCAGATAAATTATTAACCCAGAGATTCCTTAAATTCTCCATGTGATTTAATTTTTATTTTTTAAGATGGAGTCTAGCTCCATTGCCCGGGTTGGAGTACGGTGGCGCAGTCGTAGCTCATTAAAACCTCAAATTCCTTGGCTCAAGCAATTTTTTCCCTTCAGTCTCTAATAGCTGGGACAACAGACATGTGCCACCATGCCTGGCTAATATTTAATTTTTTTTTTTTTTTTTTTTTTTTTTTTTTTGTAGAAACAAGGTGTTGCTATGTTGTCCAGGCTGCTCTTGAACTCCTGACCTCAAGTGACCCTCTTGGCTTGGCCTCCCAAAACTCTGGGATTCCAAGTGTGAGCCACAGTACTAGCCGTATTTTTATTTGTATGAGTAATAAGTAGTTTGACACAGCAACGAAGTTGTCCTTTATTTCCCAAAGGCAAAAGTATACATTTCTTGCTAAGATATCTTATAAACATTCTCTCTCCTAATACCTCCTCGTAATCATTTTCACATAGTCATACTTCACTCAGCTGAAACCGAGTGGCCAAGAAAAAAATACAAGAAAAGGAATAAGAAGTGAATATTTTCTTTAGGGCTGCGCTTTGAATGTGATGAGTAATAAGGTTACCTTCATTGTGGAGGTGATGTTTACAGTTGCCTCCAGCCCTTTACTGTTGATGCTGAAGCCACTGTTGGTGCCAGCTCTATAATTTCTTCTTGAGGAATTAACAAAGAAAGGAGTGTCAAGGACTGAGATGACCCTGAGATTGGGGTGCTGTCTTGGATTCTACGGCTGCTGCATAGTACTGTGTTGCTGTTTCAAGTAGTAACCTCAGGTGACTTTGTAATAGCCCTGTAGTTGCAAAACGGGTGACTACAAAGAAATGAAACTGACTCTAGTGTGTGACTTCTGGAAACAGAAGTAGAGCAGTAAGTTGGCCATGATGTAGCTTGTGTCCTAGGACTGCAGCAGGGTAGTGAGTGAACGGCCTTAAGCTTACAGCTTGAATAAGAATGTGTGCTATTTTACACACAGAGAAAAATGATTGACTTTTGGTTGGAGGAAAGAATTTATATCTGGGCTTTTGGAAATGATTCTGTTGCTGTTTTATGTGGGCTCTCTCTCTCTCACTGCCCCCTCCCCCCACCACCTTGTCCATTCTCTGCTTGCTGGTGTTACTTTATGTTAACTATTCTCCTTGGACTTCATTGCAACCTTTTATGCCAGCCGTTGAAGTGAGAGGCTCTGAAGAGATCATAACGGTGATAACAATGGAGTAAACATTTCCAGGGACGCTGATTTTTTTATATGCTCTGCGTTTCTTAGGCAGAATGATGTAGAAGATAATTGCACAGATATGGAAGGAGATTTTTCTCTGTATGTGAAGCCTTTAAATCCAGAACAATTAATTTCTTCTCTTCTTACAACCCCGTAACATCACTTGACTCTGGAATTTCCTATTTTCTTTTACTTTCTCCATTTTTTTTCCATCTGTCCCTCCTACAAATGTGTTTTATGTGAAATAATGTGTATTGAGTTTTATTGTTTCTCCCCGCAGACCTGAAAATCCCAGTGTATTACCACAGACACATATACCATCTGGTCAACAACAGGGACATCAAGGCCAAGTGCAGTTTACACTTCTTTCTTTAGCTCACAAACTACTATAGCTTGCCTGTTCAGTTTTTTTTTTAAATGTTCAGTTTTGTGCCATACTCTCCCCCATCCCCAGCCTGCTGCCTCCTCAGAGCATAACATTCTAATCTTGTCAGACTGTGGGTAATAGGATGTTCCCTGGTCTTGGCATAGAGGCCATAGGCATATAACATGCTTTTATCTGCCTTGCTTAGACTCAGCATCCCTTTCTAGTCTTGAGATGTTCAGGCTTCCACAAAGTAGACCTGTAGACCTATGTTGGCTGAGGTCACCCTAGCATTACTACTTTCCTCCATCTCTGAACTAGCACCGGTTAATTTTCGAAGTCTAGTTCTTCAACGTCTGTTAAACTTTTTCCAGTAGTTAATTAATCTCTTAAATTAATTTTCTTTTCAGATTATTTTTGGTCACCTAAGAGGACCCTGAAGCTCTAGTACCAAAGGCTGAAGTACATCCTGTGGTTGGTCATTATGGTATTGGATGCCAAAAGCAATGGGAGAGAAGAGACTATAAACACATTTCAAGCCTTATCTCTTTTCTCCTATTCCTTTCTTTACCTTCCCTGACCCGTGCTTTCCTGCCATATCTTTGCTATGTATTTCTTCATCTTGAGTTCTCAAGGGAAAAAACAGAAGTACTTGTTTTTCTATTTATTTCAGGGAAAATTGAAGGTAAATAATATCTGCAAAACTTCAGGAAGAAATTCAGTTGCATCTGAATCTGAGTCTGCAGTTTTTGAGAGCCTCTCAATGCTCAGGGATAGCACTAAGACTCTCTTCAGAAC